AGAATGTCTATCCATTTCTTGATATTATAGAAAGGTAGCGCGTTCTCCTCAGTTATTTTAAGACCGTGAGTGTTGGTCCGCCCGGGGCTCGAACCATCGACCTCGACCTCCCGCACAACAATCCAGCGCTCTAACCAAATGAGCTAAACGGGAGACGGTTATAAACGTGGTGCAATGGAAGAAGTACTCCTCTTGGAGAAAGCTAGGTCGGAAGCACGCTTGGAGGATGAGATACTTATTCATTCTGAGGTGTAAAACGATGAAGATGAATCCGCTTCCAGAACGTCAAACCATGGGTTTGAGCGCCGCCGATCTCGAAGAAACCTCGCTAGACTTGTGTAAACAAGCTCAAATTGAATCGTTTAAGGACGACTACAAGGATCTGCAAGCGAACCCAGCTCTCTCGTCTAACAGTTCACTACTTCTACTGCAACCAGTCCTCGTTGATGGAATTATCAGAGTTGGAGGTCGACTGATTAAAACTCCGATACCATTTGAAGCGAAACATCAAGCATTACTTTCCCCGGTATATCCTCTGTCCAGATTGTTGGTTCAAGACGTCCACGAAAGACACTTCCACATAGGAAGGAAGCACACACTGGCTCTCGTGCGCCAACACTTCTGGATCCTCCAAGGAAGGTCATTTATTAGAAGAACCATCAATGAATGTCTTCTTTGCAGGAGAAGGAGAGCTACGCCAACCGTTCCTGTGATGGCCTCTTTACCCAGAGAACGACTAGCCCTTAGTTAGCCTCCATTTACTAACACGGGTGTAGATTATTTTGGTCCAATTAGTGTCAAGAGGGGAAGAGTGACTGAGAAGAGGTGGGGGTGTATCTTCATGTGCCTCACTACCTGGGCGGTCCACCTGGAGGTGGCCGGCGATCTGAGTACTTATTCGTGCATCATGACCTTGAGAAGGTTTCGTGGGAGAAGAGGCAACCCTAAGACAATCCGTTCAGAAAACGGTACTAATTTCGTAGGAGCGAACAAAGAGTTAGGTGAAGCTTTGAAGTCATTGAGTCAGGAACGAATCACCGGTGAACTGGCCCGAGAAGGGATCACCTGGTACTTCAACTCACCGTCGTCCCCACCCATGGGAGGAATATTTGAGTCAATGGTCAAGCAGGTCAAGAGAGCTATGAAGAATGTCATAAATGACCAGGTGTTACCACAGGAAACACTCCATACAGTCCTTGTCGAGACAGAGGCTATTGTTAATAGTCGACCCCTCACACCCGTCAGCGATGACCTCAACGATTTCGAAGCGCTGAAGCCAAACCATTTTCTCATCGGACGAACCTCGCCAAACAGTCCACCTGGCCGATTTGAGGAGCGAGAAATTAATAGCCGCAAGAGATGGAGAATGGTCCAAGCGCTAGCTGACATGATATGGCGGAGGTGGCGTAAAGAATACTTACCTACCTTGACAGTGCGCCCAAAATGGAATAAAGAACGAAGGAACTTGAAGGAAGGAGATCTTATTCTAATGAAGGTTGATGATGCGCCTCGGTCACATTGGCCCCTCGGACGAATTCTAAAGACATTCCCTGGGAAGGATGGTAGAGTTCGTATGGCAGAAGTGAAAACTCCTAACGGAACCCTGATGCGACCTGNTTAAAAAAACCAACTACGTGCTTTTCCATCCCAGGCAGAAATGTTTAACATATAATCCTTCCATCAAAGCTTACGATCCAGCTCAAAACGCATCATGTACCTTGGAAAAGAAAGATTTTGTTAAATATCTTGGTATTCTGATTGATTACGAACTTTCCTGGAAAAGCCATATTGAACTAATCTGTTTAAAGATCAATAGAACTATGGGAATTCTTGCAAGGCTTAGACACTATTCCATTACGTCTCCTTTTAAATATCTATCAAGCCCTTATTAGTCCTTATCTTTATTATAGCACCTCTGCTTGGGGCTCTGCACCCAAATCTTATTTAAATGAGTTACTTTTAACTCAAAAGCGAGCTTTACACCTGATTTACTTTAAGGACTATAAGCAACATGCTGTTCCACTTTTCCTAAAATCGAATGTCTTTCCCCTTGGCTTTATTTACTTTGATCGTCTTTGTAATATCATGTGGGACATTGCTAGCAATCATGCTCCTGAAAATATTGAGCGAGCATTTAATAGAATTTCTGAAGTGCACTCATATTCTACCTGATCTTCTTTTAATGATAATTTTTATACCGAACACTCAAGGCTTGAAAAAGTGCGTAGTTCTTTCCTAAGAATTGGTCCAAAAATCTGGAATTCTCTATGCTCAGATATGAGAAACTTGCCAAAATCCACCTTCCGGAAAAAGTTAAGGAATAAAATCTCTGAAGTTTTATTGAAATCTGATGACTACCTTGATATCACCGAAATTATGCACCAATTAACTGAAATTTAGATATCTCTGAAACACAACTCGACTTTCATTTTCTGTGTAATTCACGTTGCCATTTCTGTATCTTAACAATATTATTAACTGATACCATAATTTCATTTTAATTTGCGACAGCTGGTACTTTTTATAAAACATTTTTCATCTTTTCCTCTCTACAAACTTGTGTGTCTCTTCCCCTGCCTCGATTAGGCTCTTCTATATGCGGGTGGAAGCTAACATGAAATTGTAATTTGTGAATTAATGAATAAATTTTGTTGTTTGTTTGTTTGTTTTTGTTACGCGACCTGCCGCAAAGTTATGCGTGTTGGAGGAATTTTTTTAAAGGGAGCGATGTTGAATTGTGATTTAACTGAGAACAATTGTAGGATGGAGCGGCCGCTGGCCATCGCAACTGTTGTAACGCTATACCCAGGACTGCTTGCACGCGAACAAGGAAGAAATTGTAACGTGTTTACGTCGAATAAAATTGAATTAGCACCCTCGATATTTTTTTTTATTGACCATTAAAACATGCAATCCGCATTACTCTTCTTTTTAGCCTTATTTACGACTGAGACGAAAACCATGCATTACATTCTGTGGGCTTAGCTTTAGCAGTGACATGGCAGTTAGTCCCTCGTAGGGAATCAATGCCTTCCGACCGTGTTTCTTACATAAGGTTCTTCGGTCGACGATTGCTGCCGACGAGATTTGAACAGACGCAATCATATTTAACGACGGTCACTCAGCAAGATCGAGTTGTGCAACAATTGTGCCCCGTGTGTTACGTCTTACCAAGGTGAATACTTTCAATAACGTGTAATAAGTCCTTTCTCGAGACGAAATTTTATTACCATCGATATAATTATATTCAGCCCGACTGTTGGCTTGTTAGCTCAATTGGTAGAGCGCTGCACTAGTATCGCAGAGGTCAGTGGTTCGAGTCCCGTACAGGCCTGATTTTTTTCAGGTCTGATTTTCGCTATTGCTTAAATAGCGCTATCTACTGCGAGGATCGTGCATCATACGTATCTAATACCGCAGTTCAAAATATATGAACTTCATATATTTCATTGTATCTGATTTATCACTTTCACGGGTTTATTACGAATCAACTTAACGGCCTGCTCCCAGTTGGCTTGTTAGCTCAATTGGTAGAGCGCTGCACTAGTATCGCAGAGGTCAGTGGTTCGAATCCCGTACAGGCCTGATTTTTTTCAGGTCTGATTTTCGCTATTGCTTAAATAGCGCTATCTACTGCGAGGATCGTGCATCATACGTATCTAATACCGCAGTTCAAAATATATGAACTTCATATATTTCATTGTATCTGATTTATCACTTTCACGGGTTTATTACGAATCAACTTAACGGCCTGCTCCCAGTTGGCTTGTTAGCTCAATTGGTAGAGCGCTGCACTAGTATCGCAGAGGTCAGTGGTTCGAGTCCCGTACAGGCCTGATTTTTTTCAGGTCTGATTTTCGCTATTGCTTAAATAGCGCTATCTACTGCGAGGATCGTGCATCATACGTATCTAATACCGCAGTTCAAAATATATGAACTTCATATATTTCATTGTATCTGATTTATCACTTTCACGGGTTTATTACGAATCAACTTAACGGCCTGCTCCCAGTTGGCTTGTTAGCTCAATTGGTAGAGCGCTGCACTAGTATCGCAGAGGTCAGTGGTTCGAATCCCGTACAGGCCTGATTTTTTTCAGGTCTGATTTTCGCTATTGC